TATGTTGTTGACCTGCATAGTTGTAGATCACCTATATAACGACTCTGTATAGGGTTTCTGAGGAGTGGCTGTTGAGTTTGAACCACCAACCTTGCCACTCAAACTGACCTTGATGTCGAGTTCTTATCCTACAGCGCCACACCAGGACTCTGTGTATATATATAAATGTATCGTCGGTGGTGGTTGTGGTAAATGCCATCGAGTCAGTTCTAACCCACAGCAACCCTGTATAGGTTTCTGAGGAGTAGCTGATGAGCTTGAACTACCAACCTTGTGGTTCAGACTGACATTGTAGTCCAGCTATATTATAATTAGAAACTTGCTCAATGAAAAAAGCCCGTGAGGATGCCTTATGATGTGTAGGTGACCAGTATAGTGGTCAGGTGGACAGGACACTGATGTCCTCAGCTACAGGGGTCTGATGAGAGGACACTCCTGCCCTCAGTGGGCCCACCCTTCTCCAGCCCCCCTCCGGCTGAATGTTGCCACCTTTAGATATCTGGGGACACCTTTTCTGAACTACCTGCTGCCCCTCTCCTGTCTTTAACTCTCTTCATTCCTTCAACTAGGCAGCAAGTATCTGCTCTCACCCATCGATCTATACAGGTTCACTGAGTTGAAACCAACTCCACAGCACTTAACAATGTTAAATGTCATCAAGTTGGTTGTGACACATAGCAGTCCTATATAATTTCCAAGGAGTGGCTGGTGGGTTTGAACTGCTGACTTTTGTGGTTCACGCCAACCTTGCAGTCCAGTGCTTTATTCCACAGCACCACACCAGGTCTCCAACAACATACTAGGTGGGCAAAAAGTACATAGTCATTGCTCAACCTTGGAACAACAGGGTTCTGTGATACAGGGATCAAGGCATAGTCTGAAGAGGGGAAATAATACTAATATGCTTGACTGTCTCATGAATATTGGTTTCCTTTGAGTACTATTGTAAAATACACACTTGAGTGGGATAGAAAGGAATATCGGGAAACATGATTACAGAGAGCTTATAAACCCATCTTCAACCTGTAACTGATTGGAATACCTAACAGGGGTTCTAGAACTTGTCCAGTGAAATAGGCTTCCTGTGGAGACTTTGTAGTCTATAGGACCTTAGGTGGAATCCTGAGCCCCATCCAGAACCTTCTGAGATGGGACATTTCCACTTGAAAGGACAGGAAGACTAGCCTGGAACAGCTAGAGCAACAGAAGATACTTCTTGAAAGAAAGAAGAGCAGGAAAAATCCAAAACAAAAACGGCAGTCTGACTCGTTACTACAAGAACAAACAAGTTGTTTGTTGGGGAGCCATCAAGGCAAGTAATCAATTGCCTTTAGGACAAACCCCCCTCCAACACTGAAACTCAAATGAAACACATGAGCAGGCATGTAAGCTTGCTGACGACTATGTTGGTCTACTGGTGAGTGGAAGAGGGGGAAAGGCAGCAATGAAGAAATGGGCTGGGTTCAACCATGTTCTACAGACCCTAGTCTACCTGGGGATGAGAGAAGAAAGAGGAAGGGCTGGTTGGTCCGAAGTGTGCTGAGACCTGGGGACTCCTGAGCCCATGGACAAGCACATAGCCATGGAGGGCTAGAGCTGAGCATGAAGCATCCAGCTGATATGAAGTGAGGGGAGATGCACAAGAACACCCAAACTTCCAGATAGTACTCATTTGACCTAGCCTCGATAGCTTGATGATCAGAACTTGATTGTTGTTAAATGCCATCGAGTCAGTTCCGACCCATAGCGACCCTGTACAGGGTTTCCAAGGAGAAGCTGATGAGCTTGAACCGCCAACCTTGCAGTTCAAACGGCTTTGCAGTCTGACGCATTAATCCACAGTGCCACAGAACTTGACTAGAGGAAGATTAAAAACAAACAAACAAATCACATTTTAAATAAAGGAAACAAGTATAAATTGCTACAATTTGATGAGCTTGATCTACACTTATGGATGTAGTATCTCAAAATACCAACTGAGAGGGAAGGAGTCTTCACATCAAGTATCAATGTATACAGGGTAGATAGGGACAGGCAACTTAGACATTGGCTACCTAAAATGAGGGGACAATAAAGGCATGAAGTGACTGGCTTATATGTTTTCAAGACGGAGTTTAGTTTAAGAGTGTGGGGGGGAAGGTAGAATACCCACTGAATAGTTTTCATCTTGTCGAGATGGGTCTGGTGAAAAGAGATGGGGATAAGATTTTTGATTAAATAGTGAGTAATTGTTATCATGATTAATTGCGACTGTCACAACTGTAAAGGTAGAAGTTTTGTAACAAAAATGGTGGGAATAGTAAATCTTACAGTCCAGAAACAGGGGACCCTAGGACCATCAAGGGAGAAGAGCACGAGCAGAATGTGGGACCCTATCCAGAGAAGTAACACCAGAGATGGAGGCAGAGATGTGGACATGGAGAGAGAGAGCACCTGAGGACTCCAGACTCATGGAAAGAGAAAGACTGAGTGCTGGCAGCCAGGAGGCAGGCTTGCAGAATGCACACTTTGGTTGTTTAAATGATTATATATTCCTGAGTGTTTTTGTGTGCCTCCACACTTCCTCCCACCCACCCCCCAAAAACCCAGAAGGAATAGAAGCAAATACTGTTGAATGATGATGCATGGAGGAGACTGTAATCATCGCAATGAAATAATGGTGTAATCATGGTTTTCCATGTAAACCATCACTCAATGCACAGTAAAACAAAACAAAACAAGAGTACATGATAAGTACTCACCATTTAGCTGCTGTTTATATAGGCCCAGGTACTTTTTTGCAATATCCCTTCTTGCTATTGTCATTGCCATCTTATAGATGAGGAAACAGCTGCAGAGAGCTTAAGTATAACTCACCCAAAGTCACCTTGCAGGCAAGTGGTAGATCCAGTTTGGGCCCACTGGTATGTTTAACCACTGTGATGAGAGGCAACAGCTGAGATGAAGTGGATACATTACTGATGTTTTTAGATTTAAATGACTTGCCATTTATGCCAATGTAAGTAGTACTAATTAGTGCTCCTAGCCCTCTTACTACACTGAGCTCCCAAACCTTATCGGGCCAATTCCTGGTTAGGTATAACCTTTGAGTTCTGTTTTAGGAAGGAGCAAGGGGCAAGAGGATGAAGATAAAGCCTCGCTAACCCCAGGTGGCTAGACAGTCCTGGTGTGGACTTGTATCTTAACAGTTGTTACAATTGCAATTAGGTATGATAACATTCACTGACTATTGAATCAGTGAATCCTATCTCTGTCTCTTCTCACCAGACTCATCTAGACAAGAGGAAAACTATTCAGTGGGGATTCTACCTTCTACCTCACACTCTGAAACTTAACTCCCTCTTGAAAACTTGCAAGCCAGCCACTTTGTGCCTGGCGCTGTGGGTTAATGTGCTAGACTGCAAAGTCGTTTGAACTGCAAGGTTGGTGGTTCAAGCTCACCATCTGCTCCTCTGAAACCCTACAGGGTCGTTGTAGGTTGGAATCAACTCAACAACACTTAACAACAATCAGGTGGTCTGATTTCAGGGAAGGCTCAGAAAGAAAAAAGACTAGATATGGCCACTTCCGTCTTGAGATGAAGCAGCAGAGACAGAGCTAGCAGGGATTTGTAAGACAAGATATAGAAGCTCCCAGAGGCTGGCAGGTAGATCCAGAGGGGCAGGCTTCAAAGGCAGTATTCCCGGCGTATACTATGGCTGTAGTTAATGAGACTGCTTTCCCAGCATCTTGCTGAATACTTACTGCCTTCTCTGTGGGAAGTGGAAAGATGAAAAACCAAGTGGCTAAGCTAACTAAGGTGGGCATATTGAGGAGAAAAGCCTCAGTGAGATGGAGAAGGCCAGCTCTTGGCAACACAGTTGTTTTTTTTTTTTTGCCAACACAGTTTTACTCTATAGAATTATTCCTTTTTACTTCCTCCTAAGCCTGAGGCCTGGAGTCTTACTGTGGCGCTGTGAACTAATGGGTCAGACTGAAAACTTGGTTTGAACTGCAAGGTCAACATTTCACGCTCACCAGGCACTCCTTGGAAAACCTGTACAGGGTTGCTATGAGTCAGAACTGACTTGATGGCACTCAACAACAACAACAATCCTGAGGTCCAAGCAGATGTCACTAAGATTTTCATCTCTCAATAGTAAGGGCTGGGAGTTAGTGATGTCTATGGTGGTGGTGATGGTTATGTGTCGTGGAGTCAGAACCGACTCATAGCGACCTTGTGCAGGGTTTCCAAGGTTATAAATCTTTACGGGAGCAGAAAGCCTCATCTTTCTCCCGTGGAACAGCTGGTAGTAGTTCACAGCACGATTCATAACCACTACATTATCAGAGCTCCTTATGGATGTCTATAGGTAACACATATTTGCAGGGTCTGCTGTGGGCTGTGAGCTGGGCTGAGGCTGAAAATCCGACTAAGCAGGGACGGAAGCACTGCTGAGTGAGGCCAGCCAGCTGGTAGAAACTGTAACCCCTGTGCTTTAAGACCTAGGTGTTAAAAATTACAGACCCCCACACCTTTGTGAACCTAGTAGTTACAATCCTGCTTTCCTTTTGAGGAAATGCACTGGCAGGTGAGAAAATTCTCCCACTTTCACACACACTGAGCTTCCTCATCAACCTCTTCCCTTGTTGTTTTGCAGCACTGGATGCCCAGCTGAGAGACCCTGGAAGGGAGTGCATTGACCAGCCTGAGTTGGCCAACTGTGACTTGATTCTTCTGGCCCAACTCTGTGGCAATGAATATTACTCGAGTTTCTGCTGCGCCAGCTGTTCCCGCTTCCAGCCGCATGCTCAGCCAATCTGGCAATAGGGATGTCAGCTCTGAAGGCAAGCCCTGAAGCAGTTTATGGGGCTGAGGAAAAGAGGAGAGAAAGATTCTTGGTCTTTTCTCTCTGGTTGACAAAGAATGAACTTTTGGAGACACCTTTCAAAAAACTAGCCTCCGCAGTAGCAACCTTCCCCTGTGGTCTTCAGCAGTGCCTGTCTGACAGAGCCATGGCTGCTGGGGAACTGTCAGAAGAGGAATCAATTTGGATAAGCACCGCCTTCCTTTTTCAGCTTCCCTGGCACATAGCTTCAGCTCACCAAGTTTGAGATCAAGCTGTTGAGGTTCTCATTGGAATTAAAGCTGGGTGGGAGGTATGTACTGGCTTCCAAGGGTGACAGAAGGACATAGTCCCTGGTCCATCTTTATGATCACTGGTTATGTTTGAGTTCATGTGGCTTTTCTTGCTGACCCTTTACTTTACTAAACACCATGTCCCTTTCTAGCAACTGGTCTTTCTGATGACTTGTCCAAAGTATGCAAGACCAGGTCTCACCACCATCACTTCAAAGGCGCATTCTGTTGGGCTTTCTTTAAGATCAGTTTGTTCATTCTTCTGACAGTCCACGGTATAGTCCGTATTCTTTGCTAACACCACAACTTGAATGCATCAATTCTGCTTTTTTATTGTTCAGCTTTCATATGCATGTGAAGTGATTAAAAAGTCCTTGAGTTGGGTTGTTGTTGTTAAGTACTGTGGAGTCGGTTCTAACTCAAAACAACCCTGTATAGGGTTTCCAAGGAATGGCTGGTGAGTTTGAATCACTGACCTTGACCTTGCAGTTCACGCCAACCTTTTGGTCCAGTGCTTATCCTACAGCGCTACACCAGACTCCTCGGGTGGGATGTTGTTGTGGTTATTATGTGCTGTTGAGTTGATTCCAACCCATAGTGGTCCTGTGTAGTTTCCAAAAAGCAGCTGGTGAGCTTGAACCACTGACTGACCTTGCAGTTGAGATGACTTTGCAGTCCAGTGCATTAACTTATACCAGGACTTCTTGGGTTGGATTGTTTTTGTTAAGTGCCGTCAAGTGGGTTCCAACCCATATCCCCATGGATGGCTGTGGCCACGTCCTTGGAGCACTTGATGCCTAGGCAGACATGGCCATTGTAGTCCCCAGTGGTGACAAATGCCTTGAACCTGGTCTGCTAGCCAGCGTGCATCTGTTTCTGCACAGGCATGATCTTCAAAACTTCGTCTTTGTGTGGTGCTGTGGGTTAATGCACTGGACTGCAATGTCTGTTTGAACCACAAGGTCAACAGTTCAAGCTCACCAGCTGCTCCTTGGAAACCCTGTACAGGGTTAGGTGCACCTTAGTCATTAAAGTAACATCTTTGCTTTTTAAAACTTTAACGAGGTCTTTGCCACTGATTGCCTTAAGTCATTTGATTTCTTGACAGCTGTTTCCATGGATACTGATTGTTGGTCCAAGTAGGATGAAGTCATTGACAACTTAAATTTTTCTCCATTTATTAATGTTTATTTATAAACATTTTTTATAATGTTTTTGAGGATTTTCATTTTCTTTATGCTCAGCTTTAATCCATACTGAAGGCTCTATAGTCTTTGCCCTTTTTCAGTAAGTGTTTCAGGTTGTCCTTTTGGGCAGGGAAGGTTGTGTGTCATCTGCATATTGCAGGTTATCCTCAAAGTCTGATGCCACTGTCTTCATAAACCCATCTTCACAGATTATTTGTTCAGCATACAGATTGAAAAAGTGAAAGGATGCAATACTGCCACATATTTTTCTCAAGTTTGAACCTCTTTTCTGTTTGAATGACTACTTCATGTACTGGTTTTGTATGAGAGCACACTTAAGTGTCTGGAATTCCATTCTGTGTAATGTTCTCCATATTTTGTTATCTAGTAGAACGCATTTGCATAGTCAGTAAAACACAGTTAAACATCTTTCTGGTATTCTCTGTTTTCATCCAGATCCATCTGATATCAGCAATGGTATCCCTCATTCCAAATACTCTCCTGAATCCAGTGTGAAGTTCTAGTGCTCTAACCTGGCAGTATAAAAATGATCGTCAGCAAAATATTGCTACCATGTGATGATATTGTTCAATAATTTCAGCAGTCTGTTTCATGCCTTTCTTTGGAATGGGCATGAATATGGATCTGTTGGTTGGCCAGGTAGCTGCCTTCCAAAGTTCTTGGCAAACACAAGTGAGTGTTTTTAGCATTGTATCTATTTGTTGAAGCATCTCAATTGGTATTGTTAAATCCTGGAGCCTTGTTTTGCTCCCATGCCTTCAGTGCACCTTGAACTCCTTCCTTCAGTACCAGTAGCTACATGTTGTTTCCTGAAATGCTACAACACCCAACCAGTTCTTTTTGTTCCATTCGTGTGATTCCATCCATCTTCATTTGATAATTCCTGCACCAATCAATTTATGTCCATAGAATGCTTTTGTAATGCAACTCAAGGCTTACATTTTCTCTTCAGTTCTCTTCAGCTTGAGAAATGCCAATTGTGTTCTTTCCCTTGTTTTTGTAACTCTAGTCTTTGTACATTTCGTAATACTTTACCTTGTCTTCTTGAGATGATCTTTAAAATCTTTTGTTCAGCTCTTTTACTTCATCATTTCCTCCATCTGCTTTGGCTACTCTGTACCTAAGAGCAATTCTGAGTTTCTCCTGATAACTATTATGACTTTCTCCTTTCCTATCTTTTAAAATGATGTCTCCCCATAACTTTTCTGGTTGTCAGTCATTAATGTTCAGTATATCAATTTTT